TTAAGCCCAGGGTGGTCAAGCTAAGTCCTGGCATGAGCGTATGAAAACCCTAACCAGGATTCTGGGTCACATAGGTCCCGTTAGGCTCCCTAGATGGAGACCTCGATGGTTAGAGAGAGTGATATGGCTGGGTGTCGTAAACAGTGGCGTTCGTGCATCTTCTCAATTTCCTTGCGTTATTAGTCCACTGAACTTCTCAATTGTTTCCTCGATCATATCTTCAACCTTTCTGTCTTCCTCCCAATATTCATCCAAATGGGCAGCCCAAAGACAGTAACCAAAAGCGACGCACGGTAGTGCATGCTTAATGGTTGTGTAAACCGAACTGAACTGCACGCTGTGTACAACGAAAGTGTTTGTTCTCCTTGCTGTCAATCGGCTTGTATCGCTAAAAGTTAATAATCTGCAGTTGACCAAATGGTTACCTGCTAACGCTAGTTATGTCTCAACGTCTTTATTCGAACCCGCTTATGATGTACATAGATCCCATGGATTTTATTCTGCACGTTCCTTCTGTCGCGGAGGTTGTACCCAGCGCTAAATCGCGCAACCGATCCTCACACTCCGCGGAAATCAATCTAGGTGGAGAAACTTCCGGCCCGTTCTTGTCCGGTTGGTCCCTTATGTGCACCCCGTCCGTACGTCCATGTCCGGATGACTTGTCTCAGCTGGCGATCCTTTCGGGAGGCTGTTGGATGTCTGATCAGGACTTGACCAGAGCCGCGATCGAACGCGTAAGTGTCTGGAAGTGACGATTAATTTTGTACAGTTCCTCTAATCTAAGCGTCTTATCGGTGTCCCGTCAGAGTAATAATATCGTCCGTCGGGGCACTGGGTGCTAATGTTTCAAATCTAACCGTTTAATTTACACATGCTCCTTAGTTGCTGTTCTTCCGATCGACTGACAAGCAGAACACTCTGATTTATTATTCCATTGGTCGCATTAGATGTGATGGTCGATCCGTCTGTCTCTGTCATCTTGGAGTTTATGTGGCTTGTCTTTCTTATGCACAGAAGTACAAGCACATTATTATTATTATACGAGTGATAATGCGTATGTTTAGGGTTTCCCCCTTTCCTATAACACAACGACCTACTCAAAGAAACAAGGTAAAAATGAGAGGAATTCTTCAGTTTCCCCTAGTTGCATAGTTCGTGACGATCTAAATCGGCCAGTCAAGTCAAGAGTGCACTTTATTCATCCAATGTGGACAGAATTTTCAGTGAAAACAATGCTATCCCTTTTGCTTTGGCCTACGCGCTATTAGAACTGAGCTTAAATATATAGCAAGTAGTTTCTTAGATGATAATGAATACGATACCGAGAACACGTAAAAAAATTAAAAAGATTTAAACGTGAAAATTCACATTACACTGTGTATAAGTTCGTTTGATATTCGCGCCCTAGAACCCAACAAACGTGAAAGGTAAAGTACTACGGAGTTGTAAAAAACAGTGACACAAGTAAAGGTTTCAGTTTACTGTGGGTCACTTTGGCTTTCGCATTGCACGCTATTGAATATGAGCTTTAACATGTGACAAATAGTTACTTAGATGAGAATGAATAGGCCACAGAACGAGAACGCGGGAAAACAAAAAACACAAATAATGAAAATTTTGACGTGAAAATTTACATGAGACTGTATATAAGTTCGTTCGTCCCCCGGAAACCAACAAACGTGAAAGGTAAGGTACTACGGAGTTGTGAACAGCAGTAGTACCAGTATATAAAAGTTTAAATTTATTACGGGTTACAGAAGTTGAAATGGAGCTAGATAGGGCTGTGT